GAACCACCAAATACAGAAACATGGCAGAACTGGCCACATCAGCCCCAATGGGGAACCACCAAATACAGCAGCAGGACAGAACTGGCCACATTAGCCCCAATGGGGAACCACCAAATACAAGAACATGGCAGAATTGGCCACAGCAGCCCCAATGGGGAACCACCAAATACAGCAGCAGGCCAGAACCAGCCACAGCAGCCCCAATGGGGAACCACCAAGGCTTCTCGCATCAGCTCCTGTTGAATTAACTGTGGTTTATTCATGCTGTGGAATAAAAAGCCATGAGGACAAACTACAGTTCGTGTACTATTAAGTTTAGTACTATGGATGGCTCTTAATCAACTAAGAGCGCCAGAGAAGAAAGGTGCTGGGTAATTTATTAAGAAAGCTTGAGAGGGTGAGGTGGCACACACCTGTGATCCCAGCACTCGGGAGGCAGAGCCAGGTGGATCTCTGTGAGTTAGAGGCCAGCCTGGTCTACAGAGTTCCAGGCCAGCCAGGGGTACCTAGGGAGATTATATACCAAATTTTAAAAAAAGAAAGTAAAGCAATGTTAGTGTGAGAAGAGATGATACTAAACTTGCAGTTTTGAGCTGGAAGTGTGGTGTTCTTAGGAGAGAGTGACCAGAAGTGGCATTGATGGGAGATTTCTGGGGTGTACGAATACCTTGTTTTGTGCTGGGCTCGGGGATTACACCTGTAATCTCAGGATTTGGGAGGCCGAGGCAGGAAATGCAGGAATTCAAAACCAGTCTGGGCTACACGGTAAGACCCCATCTCAAAATTCCAAGGGCTAGCAAGGGTAATGGAGATGGGGAAAATATGAGAAAAGTACAGTGATGTATGGATGAACGTGTAAAAATGAAACTCCTTGCTTTCTACATCCATCTAAAAAACAAAACTCAAAAAGGACTAGGGGTAGAATTCAATGGTAGGGCGGAAGCCTGGGTTCAGCATTTGGTGGCAGGGATGGGGGGGGAGAAGCAGGACAGAAGTGTAGAGGGAGAAAATTTTATTTTTTACCTTTTTATTACAACTGCTTATTTCATGTGTGGACCTGACATGTCACATTGAAGGTATGGCAGGTAAGGACGATTTGGGGAGTCGGTTCTCTCCGTTTACCACGTGGGGTCCAGGAACTGAACTCAGGTCACCGGTTTACCTGCTGAGCTACCGTGCCGGCCCTTGAAGATATTTAGTTACCCATCCATTTTATTACTTTTTATTGTGCCAGGACCAAACCCAGGGCTTTGTATGTGCTAGGCAAATGTTCCACCTCTGAGCTGTACCTCGAGGCACTTTTTGTAGAAAAATTTAAAAATCCCAAATTGAGGTGATGGGCTTGAGACTCAGGGGGTTCCCTGTTTCTTCGTCTCGGTATTTATCTGGGTTGCTGTGGGGCTCCCTGAGACAACTGGAGGGATGGTGTGAGAAGGAAGGGAGAGGCGGAGAAGAGCTTGATGAACAGGGAGCAGGATGAGGCAGGGTCGGCTAGAACTGGGGTGAGAGCTGAGCGATGCTGGCAGGTGCCCAGATCCTCTAGAGCAGAGGCTGAGAGAGCAGGAGGACCCGGGAGCAGTGGAAATGTTGACTGGCCAGGAAGGAAGGGCTGTGACTCCCCTCTCCCAGCATACACATTTCCTAGCTTCCTCTTGGACAAAGAGAAAGGTGTTTTCAGGGCCACCAGCCACGCTGCTCCCCGACTGGTGTCAATAGGCAGAAGGATGTCACTCAGTTGGGGGATGTTCGCCTAGCATAACTCTAAATTATAGCTCAGGATCACATAAACCAGGTGTGGCGGCCTGTGTCCGAAATCTCAGCACTTGGGAGCTAGAGGCAGAAGGGCCAGCCTCAGCTACATAGGAAATTTAAGAATAGCCTAGGCTGCGTAAGACGCTGTCTCAAAGAGTGAAATCAAAAGGAGAGCCGGAGGCAGACTGTTTCCACGCGAAGTGCCTGCCCCGGGCAGGAGGGCCAGCAGCAGGGCTGCCCTGCCCTCTGACAGCAGAGCAGTTGGGGAGAGAGAGCGCTGTCCTGCCCTGCCTGTCACTCTGTGCCGCAGGCCCTGAAAGTCACCCCCGCACCAACCACGGGGGGCATGCACACACAAACATGCATATGCGTATCTGTCCACAGACGCAGATACGAGCGCACCTGTACGTGAGTCCACACAGCAGCACACATAAGGGCAGCACTTTTGCAGATGTGTGAGCCACTCAGGGCCACCATCTCCCCTCGCGGCTGCTCCAGACCTGCTCACGGGAGGGTGTCTGAGAAAGTGGACAGAGGGCAGCTGAGTCTGAGAACTAAGCTGTAGTGTGGACAGCACAAGGAGCTGCCCTCCAGTGCGGAGGGGAGGGTGTGTGCTTCCTGTTCACTTCCTCACACCCCGGGCTCTCTAGTTCACCAGTCTCTCCAAGCAGCTGGACCCTGCTTCACTCTCAGATGAGTGGGGCCGGGGTGGGGTGTCTCTGCAGCAGGAAAAATGCACAGAAACCCCATTGGCTCCTCCAGAAGAGCTGTTGAGGTTGGTATGAAGACAAGTGTGACCCTCAAAGACCTCTCCCTGTCACCGTCATCACCATCCCGTTTCCCCTCCCAACGCTTGGAAAATTTTGGCCCTTCTCTTGGCACCGGGCAAGCAGAGAATTGGGTGTTTCTTGTGTCTCTCTGTATGCCTCTCTGAGATATGTTGGGGGGCTGGCCTCACCCTCTTGGCATCCTTCCATACTTGGAGGATTGGCAGGGTGGGGGCATCTTCCAAACTGTGACTCAGCACACTTGGTATTCAGTGTGTGGCCAACTTTGACACTTTACTCACTGGGGACCATTGGTCCTACTGGGTGGGAAAGGGACAGACGTCCATGAGGGGTGTTCCAGGGATGGGGTCTGGTTCCATTCCAATGTCACACTCAACCCCTCCTGCCACCCCCACTCCCAGCCACGTCTGGCAATGAGAGGCGAAGGCAGGACTCCGGGCGCGAGAAAACGGGGAGCTCAGATACTGGGCTGAAACAAGCTGAAAAGAGGGCACCAGCAAGAAGGGCTGGGGGGTCCAGGTACCTCTTATTTTGGGGGAGAAAGCAGATAGGCCGTGGGAATAGACAAATTAAGAGAACGGATTTCCAGACCCCCAGTGGGAAAGGTCAGGAGGAAAGTGAGAGACAGGAAGATGGGTTCTGGTCCTGCACCAGTGGCCAGGGCTTGAGCGGAACCAAGTTTGACTAATGGAGGTGCTGGGTCTCCAGGGGTTGGAGGCAGCCAGGGACAGCGGGAGGGGGCTGAGATCCGGGAAGCAGGGGCGGGGCTGCCGCAGCTGCTGTTTCCCAGTTGTTTCCCAGTAGTTCGCCTCAGTTCCACTTCCAGTTGTTTCTAAGCCATTAAATTCTTTCCAGGCGAGATAAGACGCCCCGCCCGCCCCACCCAAGGCTTGTCACGTGTATTGGGGAGTGGGTGGGAAGACTCGGGCACACAGAAGCCGGGAGCCTAGAAGGGGGACCGAATGGAGACACAGCCCTGTGCCCTGTGGGGACATCACTCAGCCTCTGCAGGCTCGCTGAACCGTGAGTCATGGGTGCAGAGCACTCGCCAAGAACAAGTTATGGGATCGTCTCTGCAAGCTCTGAGCCCTTTCCAGGCGCTTGAGTCCTCACTCTGTCCCATTTCAGCACTTCCGAAAGCCCTGTACCTCCCCAGACCTTGTCCTCAGCCCCGTAACTTCTGCACGGTTACCTGAAGAATCCCCGTTCTGGACATGGGAAGCAGCTTCCTCTGCCCCACCTGGCACCAGGCTCACGACTCCAGCCCCAGCATTCAAAAACCTACAGTGCCTTCCTCCTAACGTGCAGCTGGACAGCTCAGCCCAGCCTGGTCCTCCTTGCAGCCCCCACCTCCTGATCAGCAGCTGTACCCACCTGACTCCCAGAGTCCCATAGCTCCCAGGTCCTCTCAGGTACCCGCATCCCCTCCAAACCCTGGTGCGTGCAACACACCGCATTCTGCCTTAGCCTCCTGAACACACCTCTGGTGTCTGCTTGCATTTTCTCTGAGCTGAGCAGAAAGTCGCTGTCCCGGGAGGCACTCTGCACCGCTTGCAGCCCTGGGGCAGCTCAGAAGGGAGTCCTTCACCTCTCTCTCACCACTGCTCTGGTTTCCCCAGAGCTCTGTTACTTACCTGGAGAGTGTGATGGCTTGTGGTGGCTGCTACACCTCTGAACCTGCTCAGTCCCAGCCCCAGTAAAGGAAGTGTCTCAGGCAGGGTGAGCACCCCTCGGCAGTGCTGGACTCTTGGGGGGACCCTTCACTTGCCCCTTGCAGCAGAGGCTCCTGGAGCCCGTACCAGGACTGTTGATTGCACAGCAGTGACAGAAAAGCAGGGAGCCTGCAGTAAGCAGGGGGAGGAGAAGGGGAGGGCCAGCATGAGGTCAGGGAGGGGAGCGGAGATAGGGCAGGTCTTCCCACCCTCCCAGCCCCTCCCACCAGCCCCCCTCCCTGTCCAGGACCAGAGTCGCCCCCTCAGTACCCTCATCTCAACCCCTCTGTCCCTTCTTTTGCCCCCATGTCCTTTCCCTATGTCAGATTTAACTTCTCCCCACCGTAGTTTCTGAGCAACCTGACATTCTCTGTGATTCTCTTAACCACCCCTGGCCCTTCCCTTTAACCCATTTCCTCCTCTCCGCCAGCATGGTTCCTCGGGGCCAGACTCCATCGATAGCCAAGCTCCCTTCCACTCCTTCCCAGCTGCCGCCAGGAGGTGGATCTTCCCCCCATTTGTTGCTCAGCACCCCTTTATTCATCCCTAAACTCCCCTTTGGCTGTGCTGGGCAGGAGGCAGAGATGGGGACAAGAGGCAACCCCGCACACTCAAGCTTAAACCCCTCCGATGTAAGGTCCTTCTGGGGCTCCTCGCCTGCCTTGCGGGGCCCCTCACTGCCTCCTGTAATCCCTCCTTCCCCCTCTTGCTTCCTCCTCTTGCTTGGGCTTGAGCAGCCGCTCACTGCCCATCCTGCCCAGCCCCTCTCTGGTTCCCATCTCGGCATCTCTGCCCCGTTTTCATTCATTCTCCCAACTCAGCAAATTCCTAGAGAAACAGCAAGTGAGACATGGGCACTGGCCGGGCAAAGGCTTGGCTGACCACCAGGACGTAGGAAAGCAGTAATGGGGGCGTGTGGAGATGAGGTCGGGAAGGTAGACTCTGGTCAGGAGGCTGGTGTGGGAGTAACCAAGCCTCCAGATGCAGCAACTGATGTGGTGTTTAGCCAAGTACTCCCCAACAAGGCACTGGTAGAGCTTTTGCCACAGAGGACGATCTGAGGGAAAGCCCAGCCCCGCAGGTTTCACACAGAAGACAGAGCTATCTCTACTTCACTGCAACTTTATCATTAAGGTGCATACATCTTAGCCAGGTCAGGTGATGGCGAGGGGATTGAAAGGGTCCACATGTATCTGGTGCCATATTCGGGTTGTAGTACAGGTGTCTGGGTCACAGGTCACACCCCATCATAGGGATGCCTGAGAGGTCACACTGCATGTGACCATGGCCACTGCCTCCAGCCCCATGTGGCTGAGAGCAGCAGCACACATGACCTCCCTCACGGGTGTACCCGTGTGTCCGTATGTCTGGGTGTGTGTCTGGTTTTTTCCTAGCTTTGATGGGAAGATGAAGTCAGCATGTGGGATAGAGCTGGACTTAGCGTCCTTCCTCTGCCTTGGCTAGAATCCCCCAGAGCCATGAGTAGGTGATAGTTCTTCAGGTCTCCCAGGGAAGTGGGAGGCAGCAAACAGATGAGCGGGTCTTCGAGTTGCATTACAGGGAGAATAGGTGGCAGTGTGGCTCCTAATAGCCCCGAATCTCGGAGTATGTCACAGGCGTGTCTGTCTTCCCTGGGTCCTGCCCCACACCTTTATTATTCAGGAAGTAGGGTCACTGTAAGTACAGTTGGCCATGTAAGTGGCCAGAAGACTCAAGATTGAACCTAGAGCCTCGATGGCCTGGGGGTTGGATGCTGGGGTTTCTGCATAGGAATGCAGGGTTCTGGCTTATGAGCTTGTCAGGCATCTGGGGAAGGGACTGGAAGCTGATACAGCTGCAGGTTTGAAAGCATGATTGTCTAGAACCACTTCTCCTGGACCACAGGCTCCTGGGAAATCGTGTCCTTTCAGTCAGGAATGAAGGTCAACTCTGAACCACGGGGACTGGGGAGAGGGGCAGGGGAGCCAAGAGTTCAGAGCTGGAGTGGTTCCAATAAGGTGTCCTGTGGGGCCAGCAAGGTCACAGCGCTGTCTACAACCATGTGCGCGCTGGCTGTTCCCAGGATCCTCAGTCCAGGGGTCTTTGGCTCTGAGCCCCATAGCCTTGAACGACCTTTAAAGTCCAAAGGCAGAAGAGGAGAGAGAGGACAAGTCAAGGGAGGGCTGAGGGCAGGGCTACAGGCAGACAGGAACGGAGAGAGGCCAGAGGACGACCCAAGCGAGTGCCCCAGAGCAAGGGCAGGGAACACCGCCTGGTTTCTGCACACAGCAGCTGCGCACAGCCGTGAAGGCTGAAGGGACAGGGACCTGGGTGCTGCTCAGCTGTGCTGGTAGTGGAGCCAGCACCCTATTCCAGGGCCTGTTCTCTCTCCCTCACCCCCTACAGCTCTGGGAAGGGAAAGATGAAGACAGTGACAAATGAAATGGCTTCTTCAAGGTTTTGAGAAGGAACGGTAAAGAACTTGAGACTTCTGAAATGTCTTCTTCGCCTGTTATTGTATAGACTTGGTGAGAAAGAACTGCCTAAGATGGGGTGGTCACCATTCGTGGTGGAGAGCTGAGTGATGAGGGCGAGGACAGGGAACCTGGGAAGAAACGAGCTCAAGAGGATGGGAGAAGCGCAAGGCCAGAGAGCAAGAACACCCCGAACACCCCAGCAAGGAGGGCCTGGAGCCTCCCCACTCTGCCTGGAGACGGGCGTGGGGAGACGGGACGGGGGGGGGGGGGAGGACATTTCTATCTCGTGACAAAAGAAAGTCACACAATTGTTTTGTTCTCTGCTCTGGAGCGGGTGGGCGCCTGTATTTACCAGAGGGACTGAGGTCGCTGTGGCAACCACACATCTGGGCCCCGGAATCCAGATGTGCTGTATCCAGAAGCCATAGCAGAATGATGAGGCAAACATGAGGCTCCCCAGTCCTGGCCCCCACCGCCAGGAAGAGGACTGAGCTTGGAGTGAAGTGCAGAGAGGGAAGAAAAGCATGGAGGGAGAAAGAGAAGACAGGACAGGACAGGGCAGCGCTGAGCTCGGAGGAGTGGACAGGAAAGAGGAGGACGGCTCACAGAGTCGGCAGTGAGAGATGGGAAGACCAAGGAGCAGGGCGATGAGGCAGAGGAAGGAGAACGCAAGGGGGCTGAGAAAGCACGAGGCTCCAGTCAGAGGACACTGGTGGGAGAGAGGGTGAAGACAGGCAGGAGAAGGTGAGAGGGCAGGGCAGGGGTGGCGGAGGATGGAGACCGCAGGGAAGGAACTGTTAGGAGGGAACAGGAAGCTCAGTGCGACAGAGGCCTGCCATGCTGAAGTAGCGTTAGAGCCCACTGGGCAGACGAAGGGACCTCACACTGACCTGCAGGACAGCAGCTGAGCCGGTTCCCACCTGCTGGCCTGTAACCCAGCCTCCATGGCTCTCCTAGCCCCCCACAACACCCCTCCCCCAACCCAGTCCCCCACCACTCAAGAGAGGTCTAGGGTGGACCAGCCCAGAGCTTGGAGCACTTTCCCACATGGGTGCAAGCGGCAGGCCAGGGCCGGGCGGTGCCCACTTGCCCAGCACGAGCACCAGGTTCACAGTGCCACCGTGAGAAGCAGGGAGGCGGGTCACATCCCAGAGGGCGATCCCCAAGTGTTTAAGGACATCGGCTAATTCAAGGTCCACGAAGGGGCCCAGGACCAGGCCATCTGTTTCCCTTACTGCCTGGATAAGGTGCTCAAGGGATCCTGGGACAGGAAGTGGCTGTGGACCAGGGTTGCCCTCTGGAGGGAGGAAAGGCTGAGTTCCTGGGAGCCCTAGTTCCAGGTTGCCATAGTTCCCCAGTCTGTTTTCACTCCAAACACAGTAGGGGTGGGTAAAGGGAGGGGGGAGAGCCTGGCTGGACACGTGAGGCTCTTCCTCCCTCCTTCAGGGCTAGGCTTATAGCCAGGCAGCCCCTGTCCAGTCATCTGGGCCTGAAGCCCAGGTCCAGCTCACACCCTCCAGCTGACCCAGGCCACTCCTGTAGGGTCAGGCCAAGGCGCTGCTGGATGGGAGCAATGGCAGGGACCCAGCAGTCAGGCAGACCGGTCCCCTCATCTGATGCCTTCCTTCCCACTCAGAGGACACAGCCCTGACACTGACTCACGCCTGTCCTCATCCATCAGGACACCCCCTCAGGTCTGTCCCCTTCAGTTCAGGGCCAAGAGGACACCCCATGCCGTGGCCCCCTTCCCCCTACCAGGCCCCTCCACGGCAGCCCGCCTTCCTGGGCTCCAGGCCCTCTGGCCCCCACGCCTGTTGTTTGTGTGGACAGCTCATCCTGGGGGCAGGGGGACCTGCTGCGGAGCGAGGAAGGCCTGGGGCTGCTGTGCCCCCTGAAGGGCGTGGGGCCCCTGTCCTTCCTGTTTACTCAGACATTCCGGTGAGCTGTCCTATCTGCTGTCACGCCAACGCCACAGACAGCCTCACTAGACACAGACGGACCCTACAGCTGCGGGGGATGACATGAGGTCTGACTCTACCCACTCCACCATCAGGGGCGGCCTCAGTGCTCGGCTCTCTGACTGATGCTGGTCCTGAGGGAGTCACACACTGGGAAGGAAGTCACCATTTCTTTAACTCCCTCTGAGTTGTTTATTTAATAATAATAAAAAAGATAGACACACACATCAACTGACTTCCACCACCCAAGAACATCTCTTGTCCCACCTGGGGACCAAAGTCCCTCCTCCACTCCCAAAGAGATAAACGAAAGAACAAAGAGGTTATGGGAGGCTACCCAGCCCTGAACTGAACCTTACGCGGCATCCTCGGAGAAAGAGGGGATAGGGGTTTGCAGAGCGAGAGGAGCCCTGTATTCTGAACAGAGGTGAGGAGAGGTGAACTACCCACCCTACTCCCATTAAGTGCTTAGTCCCCACACCCTGCTTTCCTTTACCGACCGCCCCAGGTCCCAGGGTCAGGTCCCCCAAGCAGCTCTAAGCCAATGGGGGCTGCAGAAGTCAGGGGTGGTTGAGGTAGAGGGGCTGGTGGGAGGCCTGGCCGGCCTGACCGGCTGCAGAAGCTGGCAAGGGGCCACCTGTGGTGTTGCCTGGGGTGGGGGACGGCTGCTTTCGGAGCGAGGGGGGCACCGTGGAGGTCTTGATGTGAATCACC